TGTATAAGACGTTTAAAAGACGTCCTTTTTTACTTCCGTGCCCACTGGGTAGTTATAATTACTATTTATCGATTAATATTGTAATAAATATTAACTCTTATCATTGAAATAATATAACTGTAGCAGTTTTTTATGTTTGAGTGCATTTGTTTGTACCTTAAATAAAATTAAACAAAAATTTAAAGTAACTTGAGGTAAAAAAAATTTTCCTCAATCTAAAGTCACGGCGCAAAGTTTTTTTAGCCTACCTTAGAAATAAGGATTTATAGTCACGTGTATAGTTTTTAATGGAGTAAGATCTTCTTCTGCAATTTTTATAGCGCTACACACAAATGTCTGTAAGAATAAACAACTTTAGCAAATAGTGAGCTTCCAGAAAGTAAATGAAACAGTCGTATATAAGAAGGAAAATCAGGTAAAAAATTGGGTATAGGAAAAAAAGTGCAACCATTCACTTTTTACCTGTTTTCCTTTTTTTGTTTATGTATTTGTTCTTAAATATTTTACAATAAGTGGGTGTAATATATAAATTATTAAAAATTAGAGACAGCTTGAGGAAAAAAGACTTGTAATTGTTAGAAAAGTTTACTTTTATTACACACGATTGTGTATAAAACGCAATACAAACGGATTTTTTACATTTGTCTATAACAATTTTTATGTATATTGTTTATTTATAAACGCAACTGTAACAATGCGCATTAAAGCTGCGCTGAGTTTGAAAACCTTCTTGAAAAGTGTTAATTAATTGCAATTGGTAAGAGTTAAAAACATTACACATAAGGAGCAAAAAACATTCTATAAGAGTTTAGAAAACGGTTAGTTTTTCAAATACAAGTAGGCACTTCACTCGAATTTACTATTATTATTATCTCTTGTTAAAAATAATACTAAAGTATGCGGATAATAAAGACACGTTATCAAAATGAGTTCGTTTTTAAAATTCGGATAACTGGCTCCCAAGTTATGACAGTTTATGTTTGGCTCAATAATGCCTATTTTGTAAATATCTTTGGGCTAATTTCCCCAATTCAGGGCAATCGGGCCAAGAACAATCAAAGTTCTGTACAAACAATAAAAATTAATTTTAGTTAAAAAAAAAGGGATTTTTTAAACTTTCGGGATAAACAAATTCATTTATATTTATAAATATTAGGTAAAACTGTAAAAATACACAAGGCCCGTTTTCCCATTTTGGGGAAAATTGGGCCAAGAGTACAAAAAGCTCTGTTAAAACCATAAAAGTTAACTTTACTTAAAGAAAAAGAGCTTATTTAAACTTTTTATTAATAAATATCAGGAAAATATTTTAAAATACACAGAGCTTGTTCTCCCATTTTAGGGCAAATTGGGCCAAGAGTACAAAAACCTTGGTTAAAACCGTAAAAATTAACTTTAGTTAAAAAAAAAGATAATTTTCAAACTGTCAAAGTGAACAATTTTATTTTTGCATATTTTTTTTATAAATATAAAAAAAAAAATACAAAAATATCTAATTCCCCGAATCGAGGTGATTGGACCGGATACAATTAAGGTTCTGTAAAAAGAATATAAATTAACTTTAGTTATAGAGCTAGTGCTTTTCATATTGTCAGAATAAACAAGTTCATACACATTTTTAAAAATCTAACATATATGTAAAAATCCCAGTGCTCGTTTACCCCATTTGGGGCATTTAGTTCAAAGGAAATGAAATTTCTGTAAAAACCAAAAAAATAAACATTAGTTAAAGGATAACCATCGCTGGAAAAAACACAATAGTCGAAAAATACACAAAAACAAAATTAAGAAAAATGTACAAATGTATTTGAAATCATTATCCACAATTTCTTCTTGTTTAGATTCACCACAATCTTACAAGCAGTTAATCGTGTTTAAATGTTCCTGTAACAAAAAATTTAATTATCATGCAAAAAATATAACAGAATCTTTGTTTAAATTAAATAGTAACAAGGACAGGTTCATTGACTGATAATACTATAGAAACTTTAAAGTGATTCTATCTTTTATAACAAAATCATATCTCATTTATCAAAGTCAGATAACAGTGGAAATGTATAAATGCTTCCAGGTTCTGATTCGTAAATAACATCATATAAAATTTGCTTGATTTTTTTTCCAACTTTACCCATTTTAACAACATTTGCTTTGCAGCAGAAATACTCTTCTTTATCAACTTCTTTTATTTTATGAAGAACAACTTGCTCAATTAAACTAAATGGATCATCTAATAAAGCTCGCAAAAACAGGACTTTTTTTTGTTTTTCAAGATGTGACATTCTAGAATTCTTTAACGCTGTAAACAACTTTTTTTTTTTGTTTCTTAATCAAGTCATTGCGTTGGTTTTTTTCTTTTAATATATTGGTTGTTTTTTCTGACGGAGGCAAATTGCAGGTACAAATGACAGTCAAAAAGTTCTCATTTAAATCTCCTGAACTTTAATCAATACGTTTATTTCCAGAAGCTTTAGTTTTATAAAACAGCTTTAACAAACATTTTTTTCCCATTACATAACAATAAAACATTCTATAAAAGTTTAGAAATCTAACTGAACTCTAATAACTTGCTTTCTTAAACTATCATTTTTAATTTTTGAAGATTTTTCTTTTGCTTCATCCGCTGCTAGCCAAACCTGTGATTTCAATTGAATAAGTTCATTAACAATTTTTGAATAGAAGATTTCTTTGATATTAACTCTACTTGACGCTCTTTATACTTTAACTTCATTTTGTTTACACTATTAGAAGCTTTTTCAATTAAAATGTTACACACTTCTTCTGATTTTGCATCCAACCAATTAAGGTTTTGTTTCTGTACCACATTGTATATGCTTGAATTGTTTGTATTTTAGCATTGGGCTTAATTTGTATTTTATAAAATTGTATTTTAGCATTGGGCTTCCGAATAAGTAAACCCAGAATCGCAAAATAACTTTCTGAAGCTTTGTTAGTTGTTGGTACATTTTCAGCAGCCTTTTGAATTCTATTATCTGAGTTCCAATATTTACCTCCTGGGAGCTGATCAATTGCTTGTCTTTCTAGAATTATTTAAAAGTGCATGGGAAATAATTTCTAATGACTGCTTCACCAAGACATCAAATTCTATATTTACAGTCTCCTCAAAAAGGTTTTCATAAAGTTTATCTTTATGTGTTTTGACATCTCTTGGATCAAATACAGGTTTTTTATTAAGCATTGGAGAAGCACCTTTGCAAAGATCTGACAACTTCATTTTTAAACAAAATAAAAACTTATTTATACTAAGAATGTTTTTGTTTTCTTCAATGAGTCTCCAAAGAGGACCAGTAATTAACTTGTCAAAAATACCTAATGCACTAGATTCTGCTAAAAATAATAAATTTGATATATCTTCATTAACTGCCTGTAAAAAATTATTCAGATTTGGCCATTGAGACAAAAATTCTTTAATAGATTCAGAATGATAATACAGTGCAT